CATTGTGCTTTGTTTTATTGTGATTGTTTTTATAAATAAACTATGAAAAAAAATTATGTTGAAAATAATCAAAGCGGACGCAAAATTAACAGGACCCGCTGTACGATCGCGGTATACCTATTATACCTATATGATAATAATAAATGTAATATRTATTATGTGTGCGTACGAGTAGGGACTATAATATATATAGTGGATAGGAAATTGCGAAAATAAAGAAAAAAAAACGCTCGTCCTGCCACGTCCCATGAAAACTATCACACAAAATCTATTATCGTTTAGGGGATCCACAAAAACAAAGGCGGTCTCCACGAGAACAACCATGGCAGCCGTGTCTCGGGCGGCGAGGGGCCGAGCCAATGCCGTCGAAGCGCTGCGCACCCTGCCCCCTTCTCATTGGTTCCCTCGCCTGCCGGCCCGTTTGCAGTCAACCCGGCCACGGGTCCCTGTTTTCCAGTCAGCCGATCACTAGTACTCCGTAATTTCGTTAGTCACTTCTAGTTTGGCATCGGATGACGCGCTCTTTCGTTAATCGGACACTCCGATCATCCCAAACCAATTTAATTTAAATCATAATCACCGGCCGACCAACATTTTAGAGTTATTCRTTTTTTTTTTGCGATACTGAAATTTTTTGTCCTCCGCGAACCACCACTGTTTACATAAAAAAAATATATAATTTAATTATAATCAACCGCTAAATAATAAATAAATTACGCGTTGTTTTTGTACTTCGATTCGTCTGTTCACAAAGCTGCAACCGTGTGCATATCGCCGAGTACCTATAATATTACCTATACCAATTTAAATACAAGTTACATCTGTGTCRCCAARTCACTCGGTGCATTCGCACCAGTACCACCGTTGTTACCACTGCATCAGAGTCATCGTCACTATCGCGTGTTCTGCACCCTTGCGGAGCAGCGTCGACGTTTTGCGACCAGGCGTGCAGTAACGGGCACCGCGATTGATCTGAAAGGTGTGGCGGGTGGTGATCCGCACCACCCGCACAACATTTTCCCCGCACTGTTCTCGAGACAGTTGAACTTCAACAACGGGTCACACCATCACGGTGGTACGGCACACTCGTCTTCGGGTAAGTTTGGTTTTCATGTGTATCTTATAATATGCAAGTATAAATGATATTATACATAAAATAATACAAAGAAACGCATTTTGAGCGGTCTTTTGCGCCTATAGAACGGACCTCGCTCGCACCCAATGCTATACATTTTTAATACCTTTATAAGTCCAAAATTTATCACACATGTATGTACTGCGAAATTTCGCGTTAATATGTTTATGACCCATTATTTAAAAAAACACATAATGTACATTTTAGTTTCTACAGGTTCTGTTAGTCTGAAATTCTCTTGGAAGGGGGTATTGGATAAGCTATACAAATGCTGTTTGGGAAGTTAGCACCTGTATAGTTGCTCAGTTATTTTTATTAGCATAAAATATATACGTATATATTAATTTGCATTGTACATACATAAAAATAGGGGCCTCAGAATCTTTATATATATTTACATATACAAATGTATATATTTATTTACGTATGTGGTTGTGTCCGTGATGTCCTTCAATAATCATTAATAATTTTTTTTGTAGCTTCATAAACATACATCTATAATAAGATTGTGAGATGTGATACAATTTATGAGATGGCATAATAGTTTGAAACCATATTTTATATGTCTGTATAATATATAATGTTTATGTTTGTATGTTGTGTATAGATTTTGATATATTATAGATATTTTGAATACCCGTCTTCCGATTTTATTCATGACTTATAATAAATAATACATAGCCATTATATTGCTTTTGATGTATTTTTATGATTTTGAAGTAGGTATTTAAACAAATATACAGTAAAAATTCATCGATTATTTGAACTAATTAGAACAACACTGAGTTCAGACAGGTGAAAGTTCGGATAA